TTGATTCGCAGATAACAACATGAATTGCAAATCATTGGTTGCAATAGAGGAAAATATTTGAATGGAGTACTTATATGAATCGTTCATTTCTGGTCTTTCCGAAGATAAAAAATCAACTACAGGTCTTTGTTTTTAATAGAGCAAGATATTTGAACAGAATATTCTTGTGCATTATTCATTTACTATCTTCCGGTAGATAGCGAAATCAATTACAAGTCTTCGTTTTCAATGTAGCGAAATGTTTGAGTTGAATATTGCTTTGAGCTGTTCATTTTTTTGTCTGTTCGTAGAGAAAAAAATTAACTGCAAATCTTTTGTGCCAATGAAGCAAAATATTTGAATAAAATATTCCTGTGCATTATTCATTTGCTGCCTCCCGACTGATAGCAAAATTAGCTAGAAGTGCTTGGTTCGAATGGAGCAAAATATTTGAATAGAAGGTTCCTGTGTATTATTCATTTGCTGTCTCTTGATTGATAACAAAATCAATTAGAAGGCTTTAGTTCGAATGGAGCAAAATATTTGAGTTGAAAGTTGCTGTAGATTATTTATTTGCTGTCTCTCTGTGGATAACAAAATCAACTACTAGTTGTTAGTTTGAATGGAGCAAAATATTTGAATTGAATGTTGGTTTTAATTATTCATTTGCTGTCTCTTGGTACATAACAAAATCAACTAGAAATCTTTGGTTCGAATGGAGTAAAATGTTTGAGTTGAATATTGCTGTGAATTATTCATTTGCTGTCTCTCGATAGATAGTAAAATCAACTAGAAATCTTTGGTTCGAATGGAACAAAATATTTGAGTTGAGTGTTACTTTGAACTATTCATTTTTTTGTCTGGTCGTAGATAAAAGAATAAACTTCAAATCTTTCGTTCGAGTGAGGTAAAATATTTGATTTGAATCTTTTTTTGAATGATTTGTTTCTTGTCTGTTCATCAATAACAAAGCTAACTCGAAATCTTTGGTTGGAATGGATCGAAATACATGAATTCAATGTTTATGTGAATTGTTCATTTTGTTGTCTGTTCGCAGATAACAAAATCAACTCCAAGTGTTTAGTTCGAATGCTGGAAAATATTTGAATACAATGTTAAATTGAAATATTCATTTGTAATCATTTTGTGGAGAACAAAATCATTTCCAAGTCTTTTGTTCGAATAAAGCTAAATATTTGAATTGATGTTTTTATGATTTATTTATTTGTTGTCTCTTCGTAGATGAGAAATTCAACTCCAAGTGTTTGGTTCGAACGCTGAAAAATATTTGAATATAATATTGCTTTGAAGTATTCATTTGTAGTCATTTCGTAGATAACAAATTCAACTCCAAGTGTTTGGTTCGAACGCTGAAAAAATATTTGAATATAATATTGGTTTGAAGTATTCATTTGTAGTCATTTCGTAGAGAACAAAATCATTTCCAAGTCTTTGGTTCGAATAAAAGAAAATATTTGAATTGATGTTGGTTTGAATTATTTATTTGTTGTCTGTTCGTAGATAACAAAATCAACTCCAAATGTTGAGTTCGAATGCTGGAAAATATTTGAATACAATATTAAATTGAAGTATTCATTTGTAGTCAATTCTTAGAGAACAAAATCATTTCCAAGTCTTTTGTTCGAATGGAGCAAAATATTTGAATTGATGTTGTTATGAATTATTTATTTGTTGCCTGTTCGTAGATAATAAAATCAACTCCAAGTGTTTAGTTCGAATGCTAAAAAATATTTGAATACAATGTTAAATTGAAGTATTCATTTGTAGCCATTTTGTAGAGAACAAAATCATTTCCAAGTCTTTTGTTCGAATGGAGCAAAATATTTGGATTGATGTTCTTATGAATTATTTATTTGTTGTCTGTTCGTAGATGAGAAACTCAACTCCAAGTGTTTGGTTCGAACGCTGAAAAATATTTGAATATAATATTTTTTTGAAGTATTCGTTTGTAGTTATTTCATAGATAACAAACTCAATTCCAAGTGTTTGGTTCGAACGCTGAAAAAATATTTGAATACAATATTACATTGAAGTGTTCATTTGTAGTCATTTCGTAGAGAACAAAATCATTTCCAAGTCTTTTGTTCGAATTGAGGAAAATATTTGAATTGATGTTGGTGTGAATTATTTATTTGTTGTGTATTCGTAGATAACAAAATCAACTCCAAGTGTTTAGTTCGAATGCTGGAAAATATTTGAATACAATATTAAATTGAAGTATTCATTTGTAGTCATTTCGTAGAGAACAAGGTCATTTCCAAGTCTTTTGTTCGAATGGAGCAAAATATTTGGATTGATCTTGCTATGAATTATTTATTTGTTGTCTGTTCGTAGATATCAAACTCAGGTCCAAGTGTTTGGTTCAAACTTTAGAAAGTATTTGAATACAATATTAATCTGAAGTATTCATTTGTTGTCTCTTCATAGATAACAAATGAAACTCCAAGTTTGTAGTTCGAATGATGCAAAATATTTGAATTGATGTTGGTTGTAATTGGTCATTTATTGTCTGCTGGTAGGTAGCAAATGAAACTCCAAGTCTTTGACTCCAAAGGAGCAAAATATCTGAATGAAATGTTTTTATCAACTTTTCATCCCTTATCTGTTCATAGATAAGAAAACGAACTCAAATCTTTGGTTGAAATATAGCAAAATATTTGAATAGTACTTTGATGCAAATTATTCAGTCGTTATCTATTAGTAGATAACCAAATTAGCTGGAAGTTGTTGATTCGAATGGTGGAAAGTATTTGAATTGATGTTGGTTTAAATGATTCATTTATTATCTATTGATAGATAACAAAATCAACTCCAATGCTTTGGTTTGCATGAAACAAAATTTTTGAATGAAGTTTTTATACGAATTATTCTTTTAATGTGTGTCCGTCTTCATTTAGTCAACGCTAAACCGTTGTTTTTAACGAAGGTGAATACTTGAATAGCATATTTGTTTGAACTACTTGTTTATCATATGTTCATCGATAACGAATTCCACTTCCATTGTCTGGTTAGAACGAAGCAGAATAGTTGAATAGAATATTAGTTAGAATTATTCTTTTGAAATGTGTTAGCCGATGATGGAATTAAAACCACATCTTCACTTCAAATCGAGGAATATGTTTGAAATGAATATTCTTGTGCATTTTTCATTTGTCATGTGCTGCTGGATTGTGGAATGAAATCAGAATGTGTACTTGGAGTTGTTGCATAATATGAGACTATCCTGTTAATCTGTATATTCGATTTGTCAGCTGTTGGTCAATCATGAAATGAAATCTATTTCTTTCTGTGGAAGGTAGCAATATACATGAATAGAGTCTGTGTTTGACCTAGTGATTTGTTATGTGTTCATCGATAAATAAATCAGCTGGAAGTTTTGCTTCCAATGATACGAAATACTTGAATAAGATTTTGTTGCGAATAGTTCATTCATCAGATGTTCGTTGCTCATGAAATCAGGTGCAAAGCGTTGCTCTGAATTGAGCAAAATACTTGATAAGAATGTTAGTTTGAATTAGTCATTGTCTTCGTGGCTGTCGATAACAAAATCAACTCCAAATCTTTGCTTCGAATTGAGCAAAGGATTTGAAAAACATGTTGGTTTTAATTACTCATTTGTCACATGGCTGTCAGTAACGAAATCAACTGTAAATCTTTGCTTCGAATTAAGAAAGGTAGTTGAATAGAATGTTAGTATGAACTGTTCATTTTTTCATTTGTTCGTTTTATCATGTAACCAAGTCTAAATCGTTTGTTGGAATCGTGCAAAATATTAGAATAGAACCTTTGTTATAACTAATCATTTGGCTTGTGTTGGTGAATCATGAATCAACTGCAAATGTTTGTCTCGAATTCAGGAAAGCATGAGAATTGTATTGTGTTATAATTTTTGCATGATGTGGTCTTCGATCACAGCAGTAATGGATTACGATTGTCTTGAGCTAAGATAAATATTTGAATAGTGTCTTCAGCCATAAAGCAGGTATGTTGTATCAATATATTGTTTTAATGATAACACATTGAGAGAGTGTTGCTAATATTTTATTTCATCAGTCGCACATTCTTCTTTGTGATTATCATGTCGGGTACTTCATGACACTGGAATGGATCATTAATTTTTCTTTATAGAAAACATGGCACAAACGCTCATCAACATCAATAATCAACCATTTCCATACAATTTTATTTTTAACATTGAACATTACTCAGTAGCTAGTTCTTTATCCTCATTTTTTCATGTAGTTAGTTTTATGCTCTCATATTTTTGACTAGTTAGCGTCTTCTTTTTCATATTCTTAACAATTTTTATCTTCATTTCTGTAGTTTCAATAGTTTTCAATTTTAATAAAATTTGCGCATCAAAAATATACATACTTCTTGATTGCCTTCTTTAGAACAACGTAAAATATCTGCAATAATCATGAATAATATACAGTGAATAATAATAATAAAACAGGAACAACGACAAGGAGAAACAAAATATATATATGACTTAGATGCACATGAATTACAGAAATATATCCATTGGTGATAATTCTTCATATTCATCTTGATGTTTTAACGATTTCAAATCAATGTATAAAGTTGAATTTACGATGTTGATATTTCGATATTTAATATTATAAAGCTTTAATATATGTTTTGCCATTGTAATAGTTGTATTAATTGATCGTATGAGTTCATAAATATATCGATTCTGTCGATATCCAATAATCATTTGGTTCATCATTACAGGCACACATAGACGAAGGTTCATTCTGAAATAAAAAGCCAAAAGCAGGTGTAGTATTTATTACCTGATACTCGCCTGGGCTCATAGAATATCTAACACATTGTCGTGCACTTGGAATATGTGAGTTATACATAAATAATATTAATTGTGCTACAGAGAAGCAATCATATGTAAAATATTCAATTAATTTTGAACGACGAGTTGCTGATAAGGTTTTATCATTGTTCGAAAATCGAGGATCTAAGCCTCGGGACCATCGTTGTAATGTTTATTTCTTAGATAAATATTGATGAAATATATATGCGATCAAATCTTGAAGACCCCAGGCTTCATTTTTTATTAATTTAATTCGATTAATTGTTTCGGGTGATAGAAATAATGTTGGATCATTAACAGGTGCAGTAATGATTAATGTATCATTATTTGTATCTATAGTATCATCTTTAATTAATAATGAACATTGTAACCATTCATCAAACCAAATTTTAAAAAACAGCTTGACTGTTGTGTAAATAAGAAGGGAAAGGTAAAGAAAAAAGTTGAAATTTTAAAAACAAATTTAATTCAGCAAGTAGTGAACCCCAACAATATAAATGTGAATCGTCACGAAAAATGATAGTGAATAATTTTTGTAATTTATTAAATATGATTGAAGCATAATCGGGTAATAAAATTTACTTCGACAATTAATAATGGAGAAATTTGTTGTGTATCAAGCATAAAAAATATTTGAATCAGAGCCAGATGATTTGTACGATAGTCATACTCTGTATCAAAAATAAAATGATGTGTTGTTTGAGCTATAAGAATCAAATTATCAATTTCTTCGATAGTCATATAGTGATTAATAAAATATGTTTTACATTGATGAATTGATCGATATGGTGCAAGTAGTTGTAAGTAAAATTCTTCTAATTAATTCCATCAAAAATAGTATTTTTTTATGGCATACAATATTGAAAAAAAAATCCGAAATATTGAAGAAAATTTAGTAGATTCAAAAGAAAAATGTCCGTAGGCATTCATATGACAACCTTTGATACGAAACAAGCGTCTTATTTTTAGCAATAGATGATTGTGTGCTTGAGTCATACATTATTTCTCTCTTTGTTGATTATAGTTTGAAATGATAAGATAATGAGATAGATGATCATTGAAACTGTCAAGAATAATGTAAATTGTATCAATCAAATGCACAATAGAAATACATTGTGAGATAAGGAATGAGAAAGAAAAAAAACATGTGATGATGCAGCACATGTTTTTTCCATGTGCATAGGTATTGATGATATCAAAGGACAAAAGAATATTGAGCTATTTTTATTATAATCGATTGTTGGTATTAGAATGCATAAGAATTTGTGAAGCCTATTACTAACTACAGAAAACAATGAGTATTCAAAAACAAATGCGTTTAACCATATGTATACTCTAAAACTGAGAAACGTTATAAAGATATTTTTGTTCTTTTCGTTGCTGTATTTTACTTTCTAAATGTAATAAAATTATGTCGTTTTGAAATAAATGCAAAGTAAAATAATTAATGTGTGAATAAAATATAATATGTTTAAATAAATATAGTTTACTTTTTTATTCATACAATGACATACAAGGTCATATACAATCGTATGAGATAGAGAGAGAAAGAAAAAGAAAGAATTAAAAAAGAATTATATTTTTCTCCTTGGGAGTATATAGGTTATCTATATTGTGTTAAAGACGTTGATGTAACCTAACCATCAATGATATAGTTCTTGCTAATACTAAGCAAGACGAAATTTTAAAAAAACATTGAAGAAGATATTTAGAGTGTAAAATCTTATACTCACATGAAAGAGTATTCTAGGTTGCTATTTTTGATAACATGATGCTCAGTAATTTGTAGATATATATATATGTTCGTATGTGTAATATAATGAATAAAATATTCTTGTCGAACTTTTTTCAATATTGATTTATGTTATAAATAGAAAACTGGATGGCATCGTCAATAATCCTCAGGGAAGTATTAATAAAGTACAAATGGTATAAGAGTAAACGCTACTGTGTCGTTGTTTATAGTTTGGCTGTTATCTCCTTACTATAAGTGTCCTTTTGATTATCAGTATTGCGTAAACTTCAAATATATCTAAAGATGAAATTACAGTGTAATATAAGTAAATAATTAATTTAAAGTTCACATGAATATTTCATTAAAATTAAGTTTTGACATATTCGTACTTCAAAATAGATAGGAAATGATTATGCATCAGTCTAAAAAAATTGCATAAATAAGTATATGGACATAGCTGGTTCATATTTATGAAGAGATTTGTCGTTTACTAGTTACCTAATCATAGTAATAAATATACATGATATGAATTTTTCAATACTAATTCTGTTTTTTTAAGGATATTTGGTATTGTTTATCACTTACTCGAACTTGTCAAAACACATGTCCTATTTAAAGAAAGTGGAAGGAAGACAAGATGATTTTTTATTGTTATCGAAAGATTCACGCAATCACTTATGGAATTCATATAAGAAGTCTAAACTAATAACAATCTGGAAGATATATCTTGAGTAAAAAACAGGAAAGTTTATAGCAAAAAGAAGGGATATATCAGACGACAGTAGAAGACTCCATGTGCATTTTCCCATCAATAGTACCTTTTTGATTGATTGCCGAAAAGATCATGCACTGTAAATTTTGTATAAATTCTACTTCTTAGAAAATCGACTTTAAAAATGCTAAGGGATTTTGAAAATTCCATTATTTATTGGTCAAATTTGAAATAGTTAGAAAATGTTTGATTTTTGGAAAGATTCATTTTGGAAAATCGAAAATCAACAATAGTTTTGAACAATATTCGAAATTCTATTTCTATTTCGAGAAAATCATTGTACTAATAATCACTTGTTTTTTTTATGTCGTATAAAAAACTTGTGTTTCATTCGTGTGTCTTATCTGTGAACTTTTGCTGATTAATATTTTTTAATTTCTTGATATTGATATATCTATTTAACTTGTTTTGAAATCCTTCGTATTATTTCCTTATAGAAGACTTAAGAACAAGTAAAAATATCGTTTTCATTTTTTCTATTTGTCTACTTTATTTTAGATTAATAATATATAGAGTAGAGTATTGAAAATGTCTCCAGATGGTTGACTGATAATGATTTGGATAAATACGTTGACAAATTTTAATCTATCGGCAAATCACTTACTATTTTACTATTCGGTCTATTTTTCATTTATTTCAGAAGACAAAATTCATGATGTATTATTATAACATTTAAGTTCATTATCAATTGAAGAGTTAATATCGACTAATACAGATGATAATGTTATTAACAAATCAATCATTGAGATTGAAAGAACATTCGAAAAAAACTGGAGATTTTAAGAAAAATAAAGTTTTTCAAGTAATAAGTAAATATTTGTTCATTTCCTTTAGTTGATTAACTTTGTTTTCTTTTCTGTTTTAGTAGAGCTGTGATATTAAACAAAAAATATCTGATACATTCAAACAATAATTGTACTTCCATGAATCAAATAATTTATCATTTTTCAATATTAATAGTGTACACCACTACAGAGAACAGCAGCACCAACTTAAAATATCTCCACCAAGTTCCTATGCATCAATTCAATTGCTGATCAATCATTATTGCGTTCAAATGATTTACAACTTACTGATGTACCATTTGATCAATGATCCATCAACTGTTAGATAATTCTTCAACAAGTTCAACAACATTTCAATCAAGAAAAGATTTTTCATTACAGTACGTGTTTCCAAGGTTTGATAAAGCTTTTCAAGAAGCTGTTCGAGATGCATCACCAGCAAACTTTCCAGCACAATGATAAAAGAAACAATAATAGTTATAAAATAATTCATCATAATGCAGTCAATACTTATAGTATTGATTTCTATCTAACATCGTTTGAATTCGATCGAATAATGGTTGCCATAAAAAAAAATATGCAGCATTTAGTAAAATATTCAATGAACACATGGTATGCTTAATACAAGATTGAATACATTTTCATCTTTACTTTATGTTTTTGTTTCGTTTAGATATTTTTTGCATCAGTATTAAAACAGAAATTTTCTCGTGGTCGATAAGTATACCGTTATTCGTCTGAAGCATTCATAAACAAACAACAATTATATGATCATCAAGTGTTAGAACAAAAATTGAAATACGAGAAGATTAACCAAGTACGTATTTCGTCGAGTATAAATCAAACTATTGTTTTATATATATTCTCTAATCTTTTTGTCTTTTTAGGAATGTTTGGTTTTAGAAAAAGAACAATCAGAAGAGTCTTCAATGCAATTATGTCAACAAGTCACATCGATGTATGTTTTAATTAATACAACAAATAATAATGATAGTCCAGTTAAAATTGAAATGGATATTAAATATGTACATCATCAATGTATTATTTAAGAGATGAAGTCAATCAAAAG